AGCAAAAAAAAACGTTCCATTTATTCTGTAGAGTTTACTAATGGAAAATCACCTATGGATGTGACATACAAGACAATTCAGTATACATGTGAAACTTCCTTTAAAAGTGTCCATTATTGTTTCGAGAAGAAGAAAGAAGAAAAGAAAGAAGAAATATTAATAACCTTACGGCTACGTTGTACCGTAAGAATGAATGAAAATTCTGTCTTATCTATCACAATCCCACCCCAGTTCGTTTATTCGACCTACGAAAGCTGATTTATATGCCCAGTAAATATAATTCTGTTCGGTTGAGCGAAGTGAATAAGAATGGAATTATTTTCTTCTAGGGGGCGACACTGTATATATTGTGTTAGTTGTGATATTGGTAAGAATTGTGGGTAAGTTACGAAAGGTGTTCATTCGACCAGTTAGCGCAGACCAGTTTACACGTAAATTTTGAGAGCGCAATTTTCAATGGAGACAGAGGGCGTTTCCCTAAAACAAATTCTTGAGTCCGTACAGTCGCAGGCGGAATCGTTAAAAGACCTTAAGGCTCAAGTGACTTCCGAGCTGGAAAGTTTAAAGAGCGAAGTACATGGTTCTTCTAACAAAGTTAAAAAGATTAAAGATGAGGTTTCCACCAAATGGCGTCTAGAGGGCAACCGAATTCAGTTTGAATTCAATACCGAGCTAGAAGAACTTTTGACGCAGGTAATCTGGGCAGTAGATAACAGCAAGCCTGACTACGCTAAAGAAGTTGTCTTTACCATTCCGATAAGTTGAAGAAGAGGAACAAGCTTATTAAGTTAGCTGATACCAGCGAAGGAGGGTGGGGCACGGTCCGTTATTACGAAGCGAATCCTTTGGCCAGTGACTCTGAGGATGAAAAGAAGATCAATAGAGCGGAAAACAAGGCATTGAAAAAGCGTAAATTGAGCAAACCTATTTATTGGGAAGTCATGGCTCCAGCAAATCTAACGTTAGTAGTACTGATTCTGTTTACCGTGCCCAGCCTCTTTTTCGTGGACAACAATGGGCGTTTCCCAGTGCAGCATCAGGAGCATGCAGTCCAGGTTCTTTCATGCCAACAGCAACCTCTTCCGCTGTCAGCCCCTTCGGACAAGGAAGGAGTGGGTCGTGTTTTGCGTGTGGATCCTTCGGCCATTGGAGGAGAGATTGCCCCTTCACTAAAGCATCAGGAAGTGCACCAGGATTCTCAAAGACCAATCGTCCATGATTTTGTCAAAGATGAGTATTGTTGTGATGTGTCATATGATAGATCAATTTTTACTGACGATTATCTTGAGTACGAGCAAGGCAATGTTGATATCTGTGTTAAAGGCAGGCTAAAACGTAAATTAGCATTTTGGAAAAGTATTGGCACATGAGTTTATTATTGATGTTTTAGATAATGGATACAAGCTTCCTTTTTTCTCTATACCCGCGCCAGTTCATTTGAATAACAATAGATCTGCTATTTTGCATAGTGCATTTGTTGAGCAGGCAATACAAGATTTGTTGGTCAGAGGCCTTATAAGTGAGTGTTCAGATACACCTGTTGTAGTTAACCCGCTTACAGTGGCTATTAGCAGTAGCGGTAAAAACGTTTAATTCTAGATTTGCGGCATGTTAATAAACATCTTTGGAAATCTTCAGTAAAATTTGAAGATATTCGTACTGCAATGTTTTATTTAAAACAGGGAGATTTTTGTTTCAAATTTGATTTACATTCTGCATATCATCAAATTGATATTTTTGAGCCTCACACTTATTTTTTAGGGTTTTCTTGGAAATTTGGAAATACTTCCAAATTTTTTAGATTTAAAGTTTTGCCATTTGGTCTCAGTTCGGCATGCTACATTTTTACTAAAGTGACCAGGCCGCTGGTTAAAAAGTGGCGAGGAGAGGGCAAAAAAGTGGTCATGTATTTAGATGATGGTTTTGGTTGTCATTGCAGTACAGCGAATGTAAGAAGATTGCTTTAGAAATTAAGCAAGATCTTATCAACAGCGGGTTCGTTCCTAAAGTTAAAAAATCAATGTGGTCTCCTAGTACTGAGATTTTATTTTTAGGGTATAATTTGAATTTAGAGAAAGGCACTATATGCATTCCTGATTACACACTTCTTAAAATTCGTCAGACTATAAAGGATATCCGTTCTCTGTTTAGGAGAAAAGGCAGCGTTCATGTGCGTTTTGTTGCTAGTTTAGTAGGTCAGATCATTTCTACGTCTTTTGTTACTGGCAATATGGTTTATATTATGACAAAATGTCTGAGTTTTGATAGTTCTAAAGCTAAATGTTGGAATGAACAAATTGTCTTGAGCAGAGACAGTATGAAGCAAATGGAATTTTGGGAATCTAATGTAAGCAAGATTTCTGTAAGGAATTTTAATGAAATAAATTGTAGTTCAACATGGAGAGAACTCGTAGCTGTTAAAAGAGTTTTTGCATCCTTTTTGCCATTCCTTCAGGGCAAATCTATTAAATGGTTTTCAGACAACAAAAATGTTGTTAGTATCATTGAAAGAGGTAGCATGAATTGTAATTTGCAAGATATTGCGCTTAGTATTTTTGAATTGTGTTTGTTAAATGGCGTGACTCTACGTGCTGAATGGATTCCACGTAGTGAAAATTTATATGCAGATCAAATCAGCAGATTAGTAGATTATGATGATTGAGCGGTGGCAGATAATATTTTCGATTATTTAGATTCAGTTTGGGGGCCGCATGAAATTGACTTTTTTGCCTCCGATCATAACAATAAATTGCCAGTTTT